ATGAAAACACTGAGGCCGCAAGAGGTGAATTGCCCTAGCCACACAACTAATAAATGGCAGAACTAGGATTCAGACGCAGTCCTTCCTTGACTCCAAAGAGCCTGAGCTCTTTCCAATACACCGATTGTTCTCACCTTCAGTGTGTATCAGACTCACTGGAGAGCTTGTACAAAGTACAGGTGCCCAAGCTTCGACTCAGAACTGTTGAGTCAGAATCTCCAGAGTTTTCCTGAGTTAGAACATCTGAGGATTTTGTTTTTTGTTTTTTAAACATCTTCCCAGGCAACCCTGCGTTATGCCAACATTTGATAACCACACTACTACACCATACTGCCTTCTGGTCCTATAGAAATAGTCTTCACTCAGGCAATAAAAACTTCTAGGTTAATCTTTTATATCTTATAGGAGGTATTGGTGAACTAGCAAAATCCTAACGTTTTGTAAATTTTTGTGATTCTTTACATTGGGTATGATAGTTTTTTGCCTTGATTTATGTTACTTGTTTATGTTGAATTGTTCTCAACTTAGATTATATCCTTTCTCAGTAAGCCGTTCTTGTTAGAGACCTAACTTACAGAATCCGTTAATTTGCTTTTGCTGAGCACTCTAAAATTTCTCTGATGAATGTTATAGGCTCTTCAGGACACCAGATATTCCACAGAGATTGCCCTTTAGTTTAAGGGACTTTACCTTTTTTTTTCGCAAAATAAAAATATTAAGCAAATTTTAGTGGGTTATTGGAACTAAATAATATAGTAATATTTGAAGAGACAGACTCAGTAAATTGAATAAAGATCAAAGACTCTCGTGATTATTAAAGACACAATTACCTTCAATGGTCCCCAGTTAGTGACCAAACCTCCTGTGGATACCTCCAAAGTGAGGTCATGTGGATAACAAGTTGATTGCAGAATTCCAAGTTCAAGAACTCTACGTTGTTTCAAAAGCATAATATAAATGTCATACCCACATCTCTCGCACAGTTCCTGCTTCTAATAAAAATGAGGTCTTGACATCTGGCTGCAGAAGTCATACCCAAGGAGTTTGTAGACTCCAAAAAATTTCTCTTTCTGGTTTTCTCATTCTGCTGAATTTTCTTACTCAGGATTTGCAAAGTATCTCTCTGGCCTTCTGGGCTATAAGTAACTATTGCCATAAATAGAGTCGTCTCTCATGTTTAAAGACAAATTAAGAGAGAGAAATATTTGCCAATGTAATGTCAAATCAGTGGAACGCGCCTAAACTTTCCAAGAGAAATGTACAGCTTTGTTGTTAGTTTGAAATGCTTAGATCACCTCCCAGCTGTTATCTTTCAGTGACCACAGAAATGTGTCATGCTCCAGTCAAGAATACCGCTTCATAAAATGGAAAAGCAGCAGTCCCTCGGCTTGAGTTTTCAATTTGGTTGCAGTTATTCAATTCTACCTTCTCAGTCCTATGCCATTAAATAAAGAGTATATGAGAAGGAATATGATGAACGCTTAGAATCTAAAACAATTACATGAAGTTCTTTACTGGTGGACCTTCAGTGAAATTTCTGAAATTATATTTTTCTTCACTCATTTGTATTCCATCTATTTTTTCTTACCTTTAATTAATGTCTCATATTAGCAAAAGAAACTTTCAGAAGAGCTGATGTCTGTTGAGACTATTTGCATCATTTCATCTGTCCTTCAGTCTTGTTGTTATTATGAAATAGAAGAGTCTGCTCTTAGGCTTTCCAGCTCCCACTCATAGTTAATACTGAGAACCCAAGGGAACACTTTGTGTCTTATTTTGGTAGTAGATATCTGCTGTCTTTCATCCCACAAATGCAAAAGAACTGGTAACCAAACAATTTGGGGAATCAAGCTCCCATTTACAGTTCTGTTACTATTCTTACAGTAATTAATTTCAATTCAACAAGCAAAATTTAAATCTGTTCAATGAACTGGGTCCTGTCGAGCACAAAGATAAACAAGAATCAAGAAGAAATTTAAGCTCTGATTTTAAAACTGGAGAATTTCCAGAGTCAGTGTTTCTTCAAGTATGGTACATAGACCAACAGACCTATCTGTGGGCTGGTTAAGAAATACCGCTTCCTGGGTTACATACCAAACCTACCAAGTCAAAATCTCTAAATGTGGAGTAAGGAAATCATTTTTAACTGATTTCCAGATATTTCCTATGCCTACACAGTTGGAAAACCACTCATGGTCTGTAACTGCCCTGGGCAGTTATAAAGGGAAATGAGTTGTATACAGCTGTTTATCAGCAATTATTCGTATTAACACTCTAACTGGAGAAGTTCTCATTTTGGGATCAGTTAAAATCAACTAGGGAACTTGATGTGAAATGCAAACCCCTGGGTATGCCTCAGTAATTTCTTATTTAGTAGGAATGGGATGGGCTCCAGGAATATACATTTTTAATATACACACTAGAGATTCCAATGCAGTTTGCTTGGAGGACAACACTTTAAAAAGCACTGGCCTGTTGCATGTCAGTTGGCTGCAGTCTCTAGCATTCTATAAATAGAATGAATGTGAAAAATTCATAGAATGGAATAGAAAAGATGTAGCAACATTTAAAGAATGTTATTTTGTTAGAAGCTATAGCAGTATGGTGAGACTCCAGACATGGAAAGTCATATAATTAGGAATGGGTAATACAGTAAAACAGGACTCTTATTTAGCACTGTAGTTTGAATTGATGCAGCCTATTCATTGAGTTTATTTTGGCTGACCGTAATCAATACCATGTGGATCAGAAAACTCAGAATTTTTTAAATTGCCCTATGTTCATTCAGATGCACTCTCTCATTTGAAAATATAAATCAATAAGTAGAATATAGATTGGGACATTACTTCTTAAATAGTAATTTTCTCCTAAAATAGTAAGGCTCTAAATTGGTATCTTGGTGCTATTCAACATTGCTCAGGTTGTCTGAATGTACAATATGATATAACAGTATTCTCTGCCTCTTAAAGTCATAAAAACCAGAAGCAAAAGAAAATCTGTGTATGGCAGCTTACATCATATGTGAAGAGACCCACCGCTAGGAGGGTGGACATTGAAGTCATCCTCCACTTCTTGCTCTCAAGTAGCCAGAAATTATCACAGGCCAAAGTCAAAGAATTCTAAATAAATTTCCTGAGAGTAGAATCTATCATGCAGACTCAAAAAGAAGCCTTCTATAAATTCAATTATTAAAAAAGAGGGAAATTGTGCAAATTTTAGATAACCATATCCCAAAATATCCAACATGTGTTTTTTGTGCAATTAACATGAACTACAAGAGGGAAAACACTTGACTGTGAAAACACGTATTTTTCATGCTATGACCCATCAAGATTAGAAGAGCTGTTGAATATCTTTCCAGAAGAGCCAGAATGACCTTTGTTGAGTGTCCCTCAGACACTTTATCAACCTTATCAATCCCAGATCTCAAAAAAGTATTGAGGATTGGGGCCAGACCGCTGGCACAGCGGTTAAGTGTGCACATTCCGCCCGGGGTTCGCTGGTTCAGATCCCAGGTGGGGACATGGTACCGCTTGACAAGCCATGCTGTGGTAGGCGTCCCACATATAAAGTAGAGGAAGATGGGCACGGATGTTAACTCAGGGCCAGTCTTCCCCAGCCAAAAGAGGATTGGCAGCAGTTAGCTCAGGGCTAATCTTCCTCAAAAAAAAAGTGTTGAGGATTGACTTAACTTCCAAATTATTTCAGAATTATAGTAATACCCCACTGACCCTAGAGTGCAGAAAAATGGTACCTCAGAAACAGAAGTATATTAACTTCCCAGGAAAATATGTGGATTTGATTGTCTTCCATAGTCATCTTCACTAAATTCCTAGGATGGCCTCTGAACATGGTCTTGCCTGTTACAAATGAGACATGATTTCTCTGACTATCTGAGATCAACTTACTGCCCAATGAAAAGGCCTGGGGTAACTCTCTAATGGAGAGAAGAAGCCTGCTATTAAGGATCAAGGAAACAATGAAAATATTCTTTTGGGCTTAAAGGGGAGAAGAGAGCTGTCTCTGCCACTGTATGATGATTAAAACCGCAGAGGAATTTTCTCTGCTCTTAACCTTTCTAAACATTTAGCCTTACTTTCCTTTTCCTTACTGTTAACATACCACACCAATACTATAGCAAAATTCCATTTTATCAAAATAGGTTGGAACCAAGATCATTTTATTAAAATCGTATTTTCTGATAAAATGGAAAATACCAATAATCTATAAGAACTTCTGTGTAGAAGGAAAAGTAGAGACTCTGATCCATCTGCATAATGGTAATAAAAGCTAAAACTGCCACTGCTCCTTCCTTTTTTCCTTTATAAATTAGAATATTAAAAATCAATTAAAACCCCATAAAAAGTACATGAGCGCATGTAGTTCTCTTACTACACAGTGACTGCCATTTATATTGGAATGAGATTATATAAAATTTTTATTTGTTTTACTTATTATAAATTTGCTTAATTTGTTATTTTCCAATTGTATTTGTGCTGCTGAGCTGTCTTGTTAATCTGGGACAGTTAAACAAGTTGTTTTGATATTGTGTTTACGAGACCTCCTTGTAAAGGCTGGCAATTTTGCACTGAAAACAATATTTCCCAGCCCGAAATGGAAACAAGCACCATGTATAGACACGAGGCTGCCTTATAAGGGACAAGCGGATGGGGCAGGATGTGAATGACTTACTGTCACTCCTCCATCCCGCAGGAAAAGTTCAAAATACACTCCTTCCTGGTTATTGGAACTGACCTTTTCAAATGTTTATCAGATTAAAAGGAGCAGGAGTTATACTAAGCTGACTTTGAATTGCATGAAATAAAGCAAATGGCTCTTGAGTAGATGCCTTCTTTGAGTGATATTCTTACAACCCAAATCAGTTTTTGAGGATTATAATGAAACAAGTCAGTAAAAACAAGAACAATGTGATGGTGATAATGGTCTTTGTATATTAGACCATTAAATCATTTGTATATTGATTTATACTTATATTTTAGCTGTTTGAAAAAGTCAGAGAAGTTTGTCCAAACGTGCATGAGAAGATCAGAGCTATTTCTGCAGATCTCAACCAGAACGACTTTGCCATCAGCAAGGAGGACATGCAGGAGCTTCTCTCCTGTACCAACATTATCTTCCACTGTGCCGCCACCGTACGCTTTGATGACCATCTGAGGTACAATCCCATTTCCCTCTCGTGGCTTGTGTGTATATGTGTGTGTGCACCCGTGTGTGTGTAAGTTTCTTTATGGCATCTGTTAAAAAAAAAAGATATATTCTCAATGAAAACAAAATACAAAAGAGTAAAACATCTTCAAAATCTTACCATCCAGAGATAACCATTTAATGCCGTGGAGAACGTCCATGCCAACATTTCTTTATGCATGCATAATGAAATAGATTCATGTTCGATTTTACAGAAAAATGGCATCGTATCGAGAATGAGTTTTTCAACCTGCTCAATTACCTTTTTGGATATCTTTCATTGTCAATAAATACTCTATTATAATTTGTATGGACTGCATGACATTCCGTTGTGCATGTATATAATATACTCAACCAGTTCCGTATTGAAGGACATTTTTTTGATTGTTCTAATTTTTCCCTATTATAAACAACTCTGCAATGAACATCTCTGTGCATACTTTTTTTTTTTGTATACCTTTGGGTGCTTTCCCTGTTGGGTAAATTCCCAGAAGTAGAATTGTTAGATATATACCAGAAGTGCCCATGTTATGAACAATTGACATTTTCGCATGTAATCCTAACTTGCTTTCCCAAAAGGCGGTGTCAATTTATACCATCCCTTTGCACATGAATGCTCATTTCTGACACCCGCAATACTATGTAACACTTCTTCAATTCTTTTTGACATTGCCAATAAGATAATGGAAATGGCATTGCATGTTTTGATTTTTATTTCTCTGATAATCAGAGAGGTTGAAGACGCTTAAATGCTAATTGGCATTTTATTCTTTTGTGAAATGCCTGTTGATGCTCCTTGTCTATTTTTCTCTTGAAACATTTCTTTCTCATCAATTTTAAAACTTCTTGGAAGATTTACCTTATTAACTCTTTGTCTTTCATAAGGTTCAAAATATTTTAACAATTTATCATTTGTCCTCAACTCTGTTTTAATTTTTTATGTGGTCATTTATAATTTCTTCTAGTATTTTTATTTATTTTATTGTGTATTTATTCTTCTAGTATTTTATTATTTTGTTAAGTCTCTGACCCATTTAAAATTTATTTAGCTATAAAGAGAAATAGTCAGGAAAATTCTACAGAAAAAAGAGTAACATAAGTGTTAATGTAGAGTAACTTTTAAAAAAATTTCTAACAGATGGTTACTTCTTAAACAACGTTTATTAAATGATTTATTTTCGCTCTTTATTTGAAAGGAAACTCATAATATATTAAATTCTCATTTTTGAACTCTTTATTTTGTTCCATTAATTAGGCTTTCTCCTCTAGTACCACAGTATTTTAATTACTGTAATTTTTATTTTATTAGGCAAGAATACACACATCCTTCTCTTTTTATAGAATTTTCCTGGCTATTCTCACTTAGTTATACCTCTTGATTAAACTTAGAATAATTTGCCAAGTTTTTAAACATTTTGGGAGTTTTGGATTACCTTGAATATGTAGATTCTTTTAGAAAAACATATTTAAAACATTGGTTCTTCCTGTCCAAGAACAACATCTGTCTATTTATTCAATTTTTCTGTTATGACCCTTAATAAAGTTTTATCATGTTCTTTATATAGAGCCTATTCATTTATAATTGATTTGATATATTTAAAAAATTTTTTTAATGTGTGCCTTTCTTCCATTGCATTCTCTAAGTTTTGTTTGTATGTAGGAAAGCCGGTGATTTTTTTACGTGACTTTTATAAATGGGCACCTTACTGAATTATCTTCTTGTCCATTCCAGATTTTTTTCAGCTGCTTCTGTTTGTTTTCCAGATATACAGTTACGTCATCTGATAGTGATTTTTGTAACTGCCTTTGATCTGACAGTTATTTTATTTTCCTCTCTAATTACGAGGATGGCACTTCAGAGCAACGCTAAGTGGTAGTAGTGGCAGGCATCCTTCTTGTCCCTAACTTTAAAAGCAGTGCTCACCTTTTCACCATTAAGCGTAATTGTTGCTGTTAGTGCTGAGGAGTCCACTGTGACTCCTAGCGACCCTGTGGACAGTGGAGGGGAACCCAGCCCCATCTTGCTGCTCCATCCTCTCGCCTTCCAGTGCTGTGTCAGGCAGTGCTCCACTGCTATTCATAGGGTTTTCATGGCCAAGCTTTTTCGAAGTGGGTGGCCAGGTCCTTCTTCCTAGTCTGTCTCAGTTTGGAAGCTCTGCTGAAACCTGTCCACCATGGGTGACCCTGCTAGTATTTGAAATACTGGTGGCATAGCTATCAGCATCACAGCCACACACAGCTGCCACGGTATGACAACCAACAGACAGGAGGTGTGGGTCCCTGATGAGAAAAAACCTGGGATGCTGCAGTAAGAGCACTGAATCTTAACCACTAGATCATCAGGGCTGGCTATGAAGCATGATACAGACTAGAACATTGAAATATATATATTTTTAATCATTTTATTCTTCTTTTAATGATTTTTTAGAAATTAAATTGGAAATGGATATTGAATGTCGTTTTAAAACTTTTCAACAGATATAGAGATATATAGTTTTTCTCTTTTTGAATTAAATTAGATTAATAGGTTTCCTGATATTATATATACCATGTATTTCTGGAATGAACTATTGCATTGTCATCACATAGTGTTTATATGGCTTTGTATTCTATTAGCTAAAATTTAAGATTTTGATGTCAATTTTCATGCCTGACCTGGACGTTTGCAATAGAAGCTTATATTTCTTGTTCTATATACGCTGTTGCTCTCCTCCAGTTTATTTAAATTTTCCAACTTCTTGAATTAGATGCTTAATTTATGTATTTTTATTCTTTTAATGACGGCTTAATCCTCTTTACAAATTCAGAGGATTGTGATTTTTTTTCCTTCCAGTTGTTTTCACAACCGACCTGTAATGCACAAATGCTTCAGTAAATAAGATTTATGTGCACAGAATACATCAGCAACATACAACACATTCCAAGTATCACATAACTGTGTAGTCACCACTCATACTTTTCTTCCTCGTCCTTTATGTGGCCACAAAAATCAGATGGCTATACCAGTTGCTGGAGTAGGTGCAATCACAGCAAGGCAGGATGCTGAGTTGCCTCATTGTAACTCCTTCTGCTTCATCTTCTCTAGACATGCCGTGCAACTGAACGTCACTGCCACCCAGCAGCTCTTGTTTATGGCCAGTCAGATGCCAAAGCTCGAAGCCTTCATACATATCTCTACTGCCTTTTCGAATTGTAACCTGAAGCACATTGATGAAGTCATCTATCCGTGCTCTGTGGAACCAAAAAAAATCATCGACTCCATGGAGTAAGTTGGGTCAAAGGAGTGGGTCAAGGGTGCGCAGATTGTTGTTCTCTTTGATTCTTTGTAGCCATTCATTAATGCGGTAACAAGGTGGGACCCCTTGAAACAAAATGCTTTGCAAAGGTACTAGCTTTAGCTACCTTGTCCCTGCTGTTCCTTCCATCCCAGGGTGGGGAATACAGTGCTTGGTAATGGGGTAGCACAGGGATAGAAAAGTCCCACAGAAATGTTTTGTTAAACAGTTAAGGACTGCCTGAGGTACCTGGGAATACTTTACATAGAGGTAGTTTCTCACTTCTTTTTTTTTTTTTAAAGATTGGCACCTGCACTAAGATCTGTTGCCAATCTTTCTTCTTTTTTTCTTCTTCTTCTTCTCCCCAAAGCCCCCTGGTACATAGTTGTATATTCTAGTTGTGAGTGCCCCTGATTGTGCTATGTGGGACGCCGCCTCAACATGGCCTGATGAGCGGTGCCATGTCCACATCCAGGATCCGAACCAGCGAAACCCTGGGCTGCTGATGGGGAACGCGAGAACTTAACCACTCGGCCACAGGCCGGCCCCAGTTTCTCACTTCTTAATGAACTGAGCATTGTCACTAGATAAAGGAAGTTCAGAAGAAAGGTTTTGACAAGGTTTGACTTCAGCTTCTGCAATGTATTAGCGGTTTGACCTTGAGCAATTTCCTTGGCCTCTCCGAGCTTCAGTCCCTTCATTTGTAAAATGGGGTTCATAATAGTGTCCATCTTATAGTTGCCATGATGAATTGAGTTATGTAAAGCAATTATTGCAGTGTTAGGGAGGGTTTAATAGTAGTTAATCAAAAGATTAGTAAAGAAGAACTAACAGAAAAGAGGAATTTCTCCCACGTCTGGCAGAAGGAATCAGTCTCTGGACGTATTTGGCCAAGATACACTTTCCTGACTGTTCTATTGTGCAGGAGAAATAGTGTCTAGCATTTTTCTCTTCTTGCCAACTCACAGGAACCACTTTCTTGTTAGGACATGGCCCCAGTCTTGGAATAAGTATGCTTCTCTTTTGTGCTTTGTTCTTCTGCTCCATTTACCAAGTTTATGTTGTTGTTTTTTTGAACTCTGTGTAGAAAGTATTACAGCAGGGAAAATAGAATATTTCACAGTGAACTTGTCAGATTTTCATTTCATATGATACTGTATTTCTATTTAAAATATACTCTTTAAAATGAAACCTTAGCTAAATCGGGAGCTCATTCCCTTCAGGGCAAACATTTTTATCTCGTACAGCTCTGAGAATAGATACTTTTATGTGTCATTTAAAAATATCCAGGACAAAGACAAGTGAAAGTCATCTAAAGGACCTGGAGGTTACTTAAAGTTGCTAATAAACAATGATTTGCTTAATCAGTGCAAAGGAACCTTTCAGAGTCCAGAATTTGTCAGGATAGCTGGAGAAAAGACACTCTGATGCCCAGAGTGAGTGTGGGAAAGTCGACATTGAAAGCCTTGGAGCGTTTCCGGGATGGAATTGATTTGTTTGTCAGCTGCCCTGATACAATGTTGTCTCTTGGTAAACGTGGTGCCTACATATTAGCTACTCCCAGGAGAGGGGTGACCCCTTTTGATTCCAGACCCCACCGCTGAGATTCCAGAGACTTCCCTTGCTGTTGACCTCTCTAACACCTGACAGATTAGAGCACAGTTTGAGGCAGCAAGGGAGTCTCTGAGAGATCACCAGAGAAAAGAGGTAGGAAATGAAGATTCAGTTCAGCCACAGTGAGAGGCCTCTCTGGGGACTCCACTTCCTCCCCCTAAACCGTGTCCAGCCACTTAAAACCCCGAGATTTCACAGAAGAATAAACTCACCTCCCAGAGGAGGAGTTGATTTATCCTCAGGTATTCAGCACTTCCCAAAGTTCTCCACTCTGTGTCAACTGGCGAAGGCACGTAATTGCTCCATGATTTGTGATCAAACTGGAATTGACATTTGCACAAAGCTTATGTCTGTCTGTCATTTCCTGCTCTCCAGGGAGAACAATTTAAAAAATATATATGTAGCCAAGCAGAACTAGGAATGAAATCATATTTTGTCTCAGGATACACTTTGAATGCCATTAGAGAACTAAGGTGTTTTTTAAAACAGAGAAAAAGTTGTAACCACAATTTATTAGTTCAAATGTTATATTCAGGGCCGCCTGCCCAGCCTCACCTCTCTCAGCCCTGCTCACATTGGTGCTACAGTCATGCTGAAGTACCTACTCCCCTCTCTCATACCTCTCTGCCTTTGCTTATGATGTTTCGCTTTGAGACTACTTCCAGCTCTGCTTCCCCAGGTTAATTCCTATTGAGAGGTTAAAGCTTTCTCCTGGAAGCCCTCAGGCTTAGGGGGCCTTCCCCAGTGCTCCCATAGCACCCTGTGCTCATCTTTATCATTGCTCTTAACACGAGTCACTCTAACTACCTGATTGTTTCTCTATATCCCCCATTAGAAAATAAGCTTCTCAAAGAAGAGAATGTCTCTTGCTCCTCTTTGCTCTCCAGGCCAGCACGTAGTAGGCACTCAAATATTTGCTGAATGAATGAAAAGTTTTTGATGGAACTAGATGATCATTGTTTATACTATTCAGGCTGGAATTCTTGTTGTTGTTTGTTTAGACAAAAGCAAGAATAGATGATAGAACTCCATCACAAACTGATATTTGGAGATGTGAAGTTATAAGCATAAAATATCTATGTGCCCACATCTTACTCCTGTTTCTGATTGCCCATTTTTTCTTCTTAAACTTCGAATGAAACCTATGTGCTGATGTGACAACTAAAGCACAAGCAACAAAATAAGAGGTAAACAAATGGGACTGTATCACACTGAAAAGCTTCTGCACAGCAAAAGAAACCATCAACGAAGTGAAAAGACAACCTATGGAAAGGGAAAAAATATTTGCAAATCATATATCTGGTAAAAGGTTAATATCCAAAATATATGAAGAACTCATACAACTCAATAGCAAAAAACCAACCCGATTGAAAAATGACCAAAGGACCTGAGTAGACATTTCTCCAAAGAAAATATACAAAGGCCAACAGGTTCATAAAAAGATACTCAACATCACTAGTCATTAGAGAAATGTAAATTAAAAACACAATGAGATATCACCTCACTCCTGTTAGAATGGCCATCATCAAAAAGACAAGAGATAACAAATGCTGGTACTGATGTGGAGAAAAGAGACCCTTGTGTACTATTGGTGGGATTATAAATTGGTACAACCACTATGGAAAACAGTATGGAAGATCCTCAAAAAATTAAAAAATAGAATACCATATGATCCAGTAATCCCACTTCTGGGAATATATCCAAAGGAAATGAAAACACTAACTCAAAAAGATATCTACACCCCCTGTTCATAACAGCATTATATACAATAGCCAAGATATGAAAACAACCTAAGTGACCATTGACAGATGAATGGATAAAGAAGTGGTGGGATATATATATACAATGGGGTATTATTCAACCATAAAAACAAGGCAATCCTACCATATGCAACAACATGGATAAACCCTGAAGGCATTATGCTGAGTGAAATAAGTCAGAGAGAAAAAGACAAATGCTGTAGGATCTCACTTAAATGTAGAATCTAAAAAACAAGCAAACAAAAACAAACTTTTAGAAAAAGGAGATCAGATTTGTGGTTACCAGAGGCAGAGAGTAGGGGAAGGGGGAGTTGGAGGAAGGTGGTCAGAAGATACAAACTGCTAGTTATAAGATAACTAAGTACTAGGGATGTAATGTACACCATGATGACTGCAGTTAACGCTGCTGCGTGGTATATAGGAAAGTTGTTAAGAGAGTAGATCCTAGGAGTTCTCGTTACAAGTAGAATTTTTTCTTCCTTTTTTTCTTTTTAGTATATCTATATGAGAAGATGGATGTTAGCTGAACCTGTTGTGGTAATCATTTCACAATATATTTACATATCAAACCATCATGCTGTATGCCTTAAACTTATACAGTGATGTATGTCAATCATTTCTCGATAAATCTGGGGAAAAAAATCTATGTATTAAGTTTAGAATAATTCATTGAATGAAGCCCAGCAACCCTTTACCAACCACACGATTGTTCATGACTGTTTCAACAACTCCAGTAACAGATGGAATTTTATGGTTTTATAATAACAAGTAGCATTAAAGTTATTCTGAGTAAATATTAATTCACCTAAATCCAAGTTTAGTTGCTTGGTTTAGCAAGATAGTTTTTCTCTGATTTCTTTTCTATTTGGTCATTGGCCTTTGATTAAAATAAAATTACTTTCCAAGATTTTTCTATTTTCAAAGTTTTTATTTCCCTTGAAAATTTTTATTAACAGTAAACCCATGGGGCCTACCAGTTGTCATTGTTCTTAGTGTTCCAGTGGTCCTCATTTTTAAAAAAGGAACCAGGAATTAGAGAACAAGATGATTTTGAAGCTGTGCTCTGGGTTTGTGATCTCAAGAAAATCACACATGTAGATGTGTTGTTAACTAGGTAAGGGGAATCCTTTCAGAATGTATACATATACCAAATTATCACTATCTGTACTTTGAATATCTTACAATTGTATTTGTCAATTATACCTCAGTAAAGCTAAAAATAAAATAAAATAATAATAATAAAGAAAAGAAAGCCACCCATGAAAAAGTAAAATGATCCTTTTTTCCCCCAGAAAATCAGTTTAACGAGAATTCCAGTTTGAGGAAATAAAAGAGGATTTTCAGTTTTTTCCCAGAATTTTCCCAGTGGCGTTGGCCCCAGTGGCACTGCTCAGTGTTGTTAATAAAGGGAGCAGTTCTGTGAACCTAAAGCTCAGCCCCTATCCGTGTCCCGCCCTCTTCAGCTCACCCCATTTTCAGACTATCTCATGGCCCAAGCCTGCCAGGCCTCAGCTCCCTTCTTTCAGCCAATATCTGAAAACCTCCAGAATTACCTTGGTCCTGAACCATTCCCTAAAGATGAAATTTGATTGCGTTCGTACAAAAATTTTAGCAAGGTAGCATAAACACAGTTTAATAACTTAGTTAATGCTTTTCATTACTATGACAAGCATGGCCATTAAACAGTGTTAAACAACCAATTTTTTTAGCTCTTATACCTGCAGTTGTCTTCTGCCATTTGTCCCAACTACCACAGACATTTTATCATGTAATTGTGTCACCATTCTTACTCATCTCTGCTTTTATATTTAGCTTGTACATTCGTTGTTACGTGCTGTCAAGTTGGCTTCAACTCCTAGTGACCCTTTCAATGAGTGTTCACAATGGCCTGTCCTCAACAGCCCCACGCAGCTTCTGCAGACTCATGCCTGTGATTTCCTTTATGAAGTCATTCCATCTCATATTTGGTCTTCCTCTTCTCCTGCTGCCTTCTATTTTTCCCAGCATTACTCTCTTTTTCAAAGAATCCTGCCTTCTTGTGATGTGCCCAAAGTAGGGCAGCCTTAGTTTTACCATTTTTGCCTCCAGTCATAGTTCAGGCTTAATTTTCTCTAGGGCTCACAGGAGCACCTACATTTCATTGGTATCTGGTGATTGTGACACCACGGATTCACACACATGTGGTTTGGACCCATGCGCTGTGCAGCAGAAGGCAATGGTAAACCACTGCTATGCTTTCCCTTTTTTTCTTTCTTTTCTTTTACCTTGAGAACGTTATGATGAGACAGTCCAAAATGAAGAGTGCTGGAAGATGACACCCCCAGGTCGGAAGGCACTCAAACAGCTCCTGGGGAAGAGCAAAGAACAGGTACAAATAGCGCTGTTGCTAATGACGCAAGTAGACTAAAGTTGAAGGACATCCAGCAGCTGAAGTGCACGAAGTTGAGAGGAAAGTCTGAGGTTGTACCAGACATCCGATTGGAACATGGAACATGAGAAGCATGAGCCAAGGTAACCTGGAAATTGTAAAGCAAGAAATGGAATGTTTAAATATCACCGTGCTTGGTGTTAGTGAACTAAAATGGACTAGAATGGGACACTTTCAGTGAGACAACTACAAAGTGTTCTAATCTGGAAATGACAAACTCAGAAGAAACCCAGTGGCTCCAATAGTGAAGCACGATATAGCACAGGCAGTGAGGGGCTCTTGTGCAAGCTCTGACTGAATAGTATCAGCTAGACTCCTGGGAAAACCTGTTAACATAACCGTCATTCAAGTCTATGCTCCAACTACAGAGGCTGAAGAAGATGAAGTTGAAAGTTTTTATGCAAGTATCCAAGAAGAAATTGATCATACACCAAACAAGATAGGCTTGTAATTATAGGCGACTGGGATGCAAAAGTAGAAATAAAGCAGAATTAAACGTTGGAAAATTTGGACTAGGGATCAGAAACGCAGCAGGAGATCAGCTCGTGGATTTCTGTGAAACCAACAATCTGTCCATTGCAAATACATGCTTTAAGCAGCCAAACAGATGACTGTGTACATGGACCTCATCAGATGGCCAATGTAGACATCAAATAGACTATGTAAGTGAAAGCAGGAGATGGAGACGCTGTATTCTCGCTACCAAAACAAGACCAGGTGCAGACTATGGAACTGACCACAAACTGTTCATATCAAACATCAGAGTAAAGCTAACAAGAGCACTAAAAAAAACCATAGTGCCAAAATATAATATAAACAACATTCCCCAATGAATTTAAAGGCCACATAAAAAGCAGATTTACATTGTTAAATTTAATTGAGGGAGAACCAGAAGAACTCTAGACTAAAACCATAAACATTAAGGAAGAAGCCGAAAAGACAATGCCCAAGTAAAAGAAAAGAAAAATAGAGACGAATGACAGAAGAAACACTAAAGATTGTTAAAGACAATTGAGAAGCACAAGCACGAGGTCACAAAAGCAGGGTTAGAATTCTGAATGGAATTTTTCAGTGACTATCACGTAGAGATAAAGAGAACTAGGATGGCCAATGCAAAGAGATAGAAGGAAACAACAAAAAAGGAGGAACAAGAGGTCTCTTCTAGAAGATTCAAGAAATCAAAGAGAAGTTTCAACCTAGATTAGGAGTGCCGAACAACCAACAGGGACACACACGATCTCATCAAGAAAAAGCAAGGGAAGGTGGAAACAGTACTCTGAAGATCTCCACAGAGGAGACAAAAGGATGACAGATTCCTTTGAAGAATGCTCCTATGAGGAAGAACCTGCAATTTTAGAAAGTGAAGCAAAAGCTGCCCCGAAAATACTGGGAAGAAATAAGTACCAGGGGTATACGGAATATTGAGAGAATGTTTTCAAACCACAGAGGCTGAATCTGTCAAAATCCTAACAAGAATTTGTCAACAAATATGGAAAACAAAACAATGGCCGACCGACTGGAAACAGTCACTATGCATCCCAGCCCCCACGAAAGGAGATGCTGAGTGCAGCAACTATAAGACCACAGCTCTGATTTCCCCTGTAAGCCAAGTGATGCTCAACATGCTGCAACAAAGGCTTTTATCTTATATGCAGCTTCCACACAGTAGGTGATATTTACCCTTGGAAACTCATGTGCATAAATGGGTCAGGGATTGCCAGTGAAATTCCAGTTTTCCGGAATAACAGCTTAAGTGGAATGCTTATTTTGAAAAATGCATATAACTGACCAGGAATGATAGGGCTTTGGGGTTGGTTCTTTCCAAGGTAACTCCTCTTAGCAGAGCGAGTGTAGAAGAAAAGGGCTTTTGCACCTGTATAAAAACTTGAAATAACTAGAGTTAGGAACTAGAAAAATGGATCCATCAATATTTACTGCTTTGTTTAATATACTCAAATCAATCTAGTAAATACACCTTAAGAATGGAAGGATAACTGTGAATCATCATTGAGCAATTATTGTGAGCAAAGACACTTTCACAGACATTTAGTTCCTTAACATAATATTGTAAGGTTGATACTTTTATCACTACAGTCCTGATAAAGGAACAAAAGGTCAGAAAAGCTAAGGACCCTTCCGAAGTCTCTCAGCTAGTAAGTCACAGAGACAGTTTTGCCCCATGTCCACGTGATTCTAGCTACATGACTACCGTCTTTCTGGTACACCCACAAAATTGGCAGTGTCAGAGATTAAAAGGCACTTTCCTAAGCTGTAGACTGGGCTTTCCAGGAGCTCACAATCGAATGTGAATAGAACAGGGTAGAATTATATGCGGGGTGTGCTGGAGGAACTGGGACACACTAAGATTGATGGAGTTGGGGGAGGTAGAAAGACTCTAGAAAGAGAGGCGTGGGGGGCCGGCCCCATGGCCAAGTGATTAAGTTCTCATGCTCCATTCCACTTGGGCAGCCCAGGATTTCACTGGTTCGGATCCTGGGTGCAGACATGGCACCGCTGAGGTGGCGTCCCACATAGCACAACCAGAGGCATTCACAACTAGAATATATGACTGCGTACTGGGGGGCTTTGGGGAGAAGAATGAAAAAAAAAAAGAAAGATAGGCATAGGAGACAGACTTGGAGGAATAGGCACAGTGTGGAGAGGTGAGAAGGGGGCACATACCAGGCAGGGCAACTGGAGTGGGAAAACTGGGGGCACATTTGGGGTATAGCTGTAAGCCCCTTTTGGCAGCACATATGTTATGTGTAGGCAAGCTGTTAGAGAGCAAGCTGGAGAGGTAGGCTGGGGCCATACTGGAGATTTTGAACATCATGCAGAGGACCGTATTTAATTCTACAGGCAATGGGCATCCATTGAAGAAGGGGGCGTACGTGTGTATGTGTCCATGTCTCTGTGTGTGTGTGTGGTTTTTGGGTTTTGTTTCATTTTATTTGAATCAAGGAAAGACCTTGATGAAAATGGGCTTTAGGTACATGAATATGGTCATGGAGGGCAAAGGCGGGTAGATTAACACGGGGAGTCACCAAAGGCAGGGAGCACCATTACCTGAGAGAGAGTGGTGTGGAGGACTAGAACTGGGGAGTGGCAACAGAAATGAAAAACACTCATAGATTTTGGAAGAGAAAAACCAATAGGACGTGGCTACCGATTTGCATATGGGCTCGCACTTAGCTCATCAGCGATCGGTTTAGAATACTCATAATTGTCACAGCTTACATTTCTAGTACCAGGGATTTCATTCTTTTAAAGTTCCATTCTACTGAAATTTTTATTCCAAGGGGCAATGCCTTTTTGAAAGCTAATCCCAATTTAGTCAAGTCTTAATGACATAAATTTGTGGAGTGGAGTAGAGTTCTTTTAAATGAGTGATTCCCCAGTTTGCCTGACCATAAGAATCACCAGGACGTGTTAAAATACAGATTATCAGATTATCACCCCTGAAGGTTGATTTAGGGGTTCTAAAATGGTACTCAGGAATCTGGATTTTTATCAGAGGCCCCACTCAGTCTTCCTTATGAGCAGGCAAGTTTGGGAAGTAGTGCCATAAAGTGCTTACTCATCTAACAGTTTTCATTAGAAATGGATTCATTCATATTCCGGTAACCAATGCGCCCTCCTTTCCCCACTCCCCTCACCTGCTGTTGTCTTTCAATTCCTAGATGCTTTAATTGACTAAAAAGTTCCCGATAGATTTGTACCTACTAAAAATCACACTGTTGAAGCTCCCTGGCCACCAGAAGATGCAGCTAATCTGCCATGTGAAAAAGAAAAGGTGTTTCTTGATCAAACGCTGATTGCAATCAGCTGTGGCAGGTGTGCGGCCGGTGGAGGGTGAGAAGCAGGGACAATGAAGGCTGCCTGCAGCTGACAAGTCCCAGAACAGCCCTTTGGGAAATATGAAAGGAGGTCAGACTTAGGCAAGTGGTTTTACCTCGGTGCTAGAGAACACACTGTGAACACTAAGAAAGCGGATCTATTCTAGGGGAAAGGAAAAAGCTAATTTTAGCATCTGTGCTTTTATTTTCAGGATTGTATAACCTTAAGATGGCATCTAAGCAGCCGACCAAAAATTGAAAATTCTGTGTACTTTAAATACAATGGTAGATTGTTTCTTAAACAAACTGAATAGTTTTCATGTTGTCAAGCCATTGGAGGCCAGTTGAGGTGCTCAGTAAAGTCTGGAGGGAAATACAGAGGCCAATTCACCACCAGCACTAGGCTCAGATATTCCCCTGTCCCCAGTCAGTTTAAATTTACTTTGGAGCCGGTTAAATTTACTCCGAAGCCCACTCTGACAAATTGAAGTAGGTCAACATTTAGCCCTTCAGCTTCTCAACACTTTTCACCACTGCCACTGGAACCTCCAACTTCCAATTTTGCTTCATTCTCTACAAAGACATCTCTCTTCTTCCCTTCCCGCAGTCTCCCTACAACCTCACCTCCTTCTGAGTTCACCCATTCTCTCCTATCATTGTCCATCTCAGCTTCCCAAAACCTTACACAGAACACAAATCAGCCCAGCAAGACTGTCATATGGGAGGTCACCCATTTATGTACTGAATAAGGTAGCTGGTTCCTGGGCACAGAAAGGTGATTGGATACAGAGATAAAAAGCATCATCCCTACCCTCCTGGACTCACTGTAAAGTGGGGTAACAGGCACGTGAGCAAGTACATACAGCATGATAATTGCAATAGTCAAGGGAGGAGCATAATCCAGGCAAGAGACAGAGAGTAAACGTTACCGGGAGCAATGTGTCCAGTGCTTACTCCCCAGAGAGCTTTTCCTGATATACCACTGGGTTTGCCCTGATTATTGAATAAGAAAACTAGGAGGAAAAATGCACATTCCTCTTGCCATTTCATTTAGTGAACACATAAATTATGAAATTATTAATAATAATATGAGGTTGATTCAATAACTTTCAAACCAAAAGTTGACAGTAATATTTAGAGGAAATTGTGTACACTGAAGGGCATTTGGTTAATTTCAGAAATGTGTTTTGGCTTTGTGTGGTGTCTTCTTTCCACGCTGAGTTGTTTACTGTTTTAAAAACCAATTGAGGGGCTGGCCCCGTGGCCGAGTGGTTAAGTTCATGCCCTCCGCTTCAGCAGCCTGGGGTTTCACTGGTTTGGATCCTGCGCGCGGACATGGCACCATTCATCAGGCCACGCTGAGGCGGCGTCCCACATGCCTCAACTAGAAGGACCCTCAACTGAAATATACAAATATATACTGGGGGGATTTGGGGAGAAAAAGCAGAAAAAAAAAAAAAGATTGCCAACAGTTGTTAGCTCAGGTGCCAATCTTTAAAACAAACAAACAAACAAACAAAAGCAGCAAATCAAACTTTGGTAAAGAAGAGCATGAACTGATTATAGGTCCCAAAAATGGCACCGCATAACCAATGGATGTGCATACTTGTTACACTAAGCTCTTCTCTGGACCCAGGAAGTGGGTGGATGAGATGGGGAATGGTCTGTTTGGCTGTATTATAAAAGATATTTTAAAACTATTACCTATGTAGATATATGCTCTTTGGTTGTTTCATGAAAATAAGAATGCTTTAGGTTTATTGGCTCATTTCGTTTCATCAAATAGCTTTCATTGCAGTTGTGATTATTCTTGTTTGTCTTTATGAAAACTTGAGAATTTAGAAGAGAGGTAACTATTGCCATTTTTCATGAGTAAAAATGGAGGAAATGAGAAGATGATACAGTAGAATACAGGTAGAGCTAGGAATAGTGGAGGCAGGTCAACTACAGTACAAGTGCTTTCACATTTGTGTTCTCCGATACCTATGAAACCAATATTTTCCAAGACAGCTAACTCATAAAACTTGGTAAAGCCTCCAAGTGCCACCCTTTCCGTGCACACCAACATCCATGACGCCAACTGATCCCAGCCATGTGACATACAATCCTAGTGCATTGCTGGGTTCTGATTTTTTCTTAGAATGTTCTTCTTTCCAGCCTTATTGAAATTAGGCTGTGTTTCTTCTAACCTGGTTTGGATAACCTTTCTGTTTTTGCAGGTGAAAGAAAATGGTGTTAGGTCAGTTAATCCTCTGTTGAGCCACAAATAAGATGAGGTAAAGGTAACATCATTATAAAGATGGAGAGGTTGCCTGCACATTCCCACACACTCTCCCAACCCTCCGCTGGCCATATAATTGGAGTGTCTTCCATTTTTCTAAGTGTTTGGAGTTGTTTTTAGTTCTAGAAACTTCTCAGCCTTTCCCTATTCAGTTTAAATCAAGAGATACTTGAGTATCTAGAAAATACTCAGAACTAGTAACAGCAAGCAAGGAAAACCAAAACGTTATAGACAGTGCTCCTGTTTCATTCCAGTATCAAATAAGAGTTATTAAGAGTGAGAGTTGTGTTTCCGAATAAGTCTTGGCAATAAGCACATCTTAAACGATCAACAGTGTGTCAACGGGAGAGAAACGGTAACCGCTAAGATTTTTCTACAACCTAAATAGAAGGACTGTACCTGGCCCCCAAAAATAAGCATAAAGGTACCAAACACATTGATTACACAAATCACACGAACATATTCAGGTAGGCTAATTTTTAAAAACTGTATTATATCAAAAGTTTAACCAAATAGATCTACCAGCTAAGGGAAACATTAAATATTGAACTGACAAATAATGTTACTGCTCCCAGAGAAGTGCAAATAGATTTTGGGATTATCAAAATGGTTCTGACATCTTTAAAAAAAGGGTTAGGCTGATGCCATGGTAACTCAGTTATTCATGATACATGTCTTCTTTTCAGTAGAGGTATTCAATAATCTCTCTAGGAAAGCTGCTTCAGAGTAATATCATTCCACTTGGCAGACTATTAATAGTTATTAGAGCACTTCAGAATTCATTGGAATTCTCTAGAAATAATTACCTACTTATTAGCATAGACTCTAAACAGACCTTCAAAATACATTTCACAGAATTGCTAAAACAGATTATAAATCTGCAAAATGTAGTTGCTTTTGTTTGGTGAAACATTGAATGAAACTTTAAAAATTAAAAGCTAAAGGTTGCGAGACTGATGCCCTAAGTTTTAATTGGAGAACACTGAATGGAGGTGATGCCACTGAAGCTCTTTGAACCAGAGAGCCTCTGCGCTCCACAAACACAGCACCTAGCGTGCTTCTGGGCACACGATTGGCACTCACAAATATGTTCAAAGAATATACTTATGAACTTGTTGGAGAGAAAGTGATTGAAGATAATTAGAGATTATATGTAATAAAGTAGTAGGTTGTATCGCTCTTGAATTTATCTATCTAGGTGGGAGGTTCGACTGGTAGGATTGGGCTTAGCAGTGGACAACAAAGAGCTCATCCATCACGCATGATTTGAACAGGTACATAGTCAGCCTTGGTGTCCTGTGAGTGTTCTGAATTCCAGAACTCAAGCTGGAAAGTGGAAGTTTTGTTTGCTTGTCTGTGTGTCACAGTTTCTTTTCGGTCAATTGTCTAATGTGTGTTGCTGTTGTTTAACGTAAGTTGCTAGAATTCTTTTTTTACTCTGACTCCCTTCAGGTGGTGGGACGACGCCATTGTTGATGAGATTGCACCCAAGCTGATGGGGGATTGGCCCAATACTTACACCTACACCAAGGCCCTGGGAGAGATGGTAGTACAGCAGGAGAGCGGGAACCTAAATATCGCCATCATAAGGCCCTCCATTGTGGGAGCAACCTGGCAGGAGCCTTTCCCAGTAAGCCCACTCACCTGCATCCCATGCTTTGCTTCCCAACCGGCATCTTTCTAGCCCAATTCCTTTCTGATGTCCTTTTCTTCTTTTCTTTTTTTCTTTTTTCTTCTCAAGATGTATAACCGAGCAAATTAAACACAAACTCATTGTATTAGGGCAAAATTCCACGTTGAGTTCAGGATTTATCCAGTACGAGGCTCCCCTGGGAGTTACGCTGACTGTCCTACAGTTGGGTGGATGTCTGGAATTGCCTTCTCATTAACTCCAGCCTCAAAATTTCCAGGGGAGATAGTTTCAGTTCTTGGCTTTCCCATTATGGTTTAACTAGACCAGGATGCTCTTGATGACCATATTGGTAGTATTTCAACTGCCAGAGTAAATAGGAATCACAAAGCTCACAGAAGATTCTTGGTTTAGGAGTAATACTTTTTACCTCTGTATACTGCTGTATCCTTTTGAAAGTACTTTGAATTACTCCATCTTCTTTGAAGCAATTCTGTGAAGCATTAGGACCAGGTAAAGTCAAGCCCTACTACTTACTGACAGTGCAGGCTTTTGAGTTGTCTCATCTGTAAAACTGGGCTAATACTACCCACGTTGGAGAGTTGATCAAATGAGATAATGTATGAGGAAGGCTTAGTGCAGTGGCCTGATCCTTAGTAAAAGGCTCAAAAAATATTACTGCCTTCATTGTCTCGTCTATTCTCTCTCCTCTCCCATTTTACACGCACATTTTGACTTTTACAGACAAAGAAACAGACATAATAAGGTCAACTGACTTGCTCAGGGCTTAGGAGACAAACTCGAAAAGACTTTTCTCTCTAACTGCTCCTAAATATAACCTGTCCTCTAACATCACTAAGTAAGCTAATATATATAAATATGTGTGTAATTGTATAGAAATAAATACATATATATATATATATATAATATGGATGCTACGACTCTTAAAATTTTCAGGAAATGGTTAATTCCTACAAATCATGTTTGAAATGTTCCTCTGGGAGTTAAAATCAGGCCCTAAGTTGAGGAAAGTGATGGTCAATGAATTGGTTAGCAAATTACGATATTAACACAAGGTCCAATTTAGCCCTGAAGATATCATAAAACAACTTGAAACCATCCATGCCTCCTGCTATGAAAAAAATGCTGGCAGAATTTTAATTCTTACACAAATAAAGTGTAGAAAATAGCCAATGCCTTGCCATTGATCTTTATTATTATTTTTAAAGATTTTATTTTTTCCTTCTTCTCCCCAAAGCCCCCCCAGTACATAGTTGTATATTTCTCGTTGTGGGTTCTTCTAGTTGTGGTATGCGGGACGCTGCCTCAGCGTGGTTTGATGAGCAGTGCCATGTCCGCGCCCAGGATTCGAACCAACGAAACACTGGGACGCCTGCAGCGGAGTGCGCGAGCTTAACCACTCGGCCACGGGGCCAGACCCTGATCTTTATTTTTGATCTTAGAAATCCTGGATTAGATAGTTCTATGGGCTGGAGTTTCAGTGCTCTTGTTTGAAATTTATTAAGATTACATGCAGATATTCCAAAGGTATGATAATTTTCTGACGTGTGACCAATAGAGATCTTCTTTTTTTCTTTTTTTTTTTTAGGGTTGGGTTGATAACCTAAATGGACCTAATGGGATGATTGTTGCGGTATGTATAGTGATTGGAAATAACTCCTTGAAATGTAGTGGAGGGATGATAACAAGATACTTAGTGTTGGCTTAGCTCCATTGATCCAAAACCATAAATGTTACTATACTAACTACAATTGAAGCAACCTATCTCAATTTTGCGGGTTGAAAAATAGAGGCAGGATGAAATTAGCATTTATTATTTGTGGGTTTTATTATCAGGAAAACAGAGGTACTGTGATTGCATCACTTTTTAGGAGGGCGTTTTTTGGAAAGTCTTTGAGCATCAAGGACCACGTGTGTATTTCCCTTTAGTTACCACAAGATGGGGGTGTTTCCTGCTTTTTGCTGTTTATTAATAGCTTGCATTAGCTTCGCGAATTGGGGATGCAATAAAAATCATATTTGCAAAGATTATTAAATTCTCGATTATAAAACACATACAAGAGCTTACATGTGTTTGGATAGAAATTATATACATACATAAATTACATCAATAACCAGTTCTCAATAGATATGAGAACTACCAATTGGAGCAAATCTTTCAAATACAAAAATTTATGACTATAGAAACACTTTTCAACAATAACCCTCTCACCAGGACCACAACTCTACTCTTTAGAGCAATGAATAGGAATTCAATTCTCTAACTGAGTTTAGTCTTATTTGAAATCTTGTGCTTCCAACTCTGCCTCTGTTCTTCTCAGAACTAGGTCCAACAGGAACCAAAACACAAATATAAGACAGGAAATTGCGATGACTTGTCAAAGACAGTGACAGTGAACTTCTTTCTGATTTCCCTTTTTTCTCCCCTAGGAGCTACTCTCTTTCGGTTCCTTACCTGCCTTCAACTCTTTCTTCTTTAAGCCTTAGTTGGGGTAAATGTTTGGTAACTTAGAACGAAATTATTTTAACATGATCCCAGAGTGAGTTTCATTACATTATTTACAAAGCTGTACATTTATTCAAATTTTCTAAAATTTTCCAAAGTGGTTTCTTGTGTCCAAAGGAAGGGGAATCAGTTACAAGAAAGTGGAAATTAGAAACATAAGAAAGTGCTAACCACTGCAAATCAATGATGGAAACATGCAGGGTATAAATAATCAGTTATCTCATAAAGTCTATAATCATGACTTTTTATTTATTAACTGACATCTAATTATTGGCATGACATGTATTAATGTGAATAACTCCCAATTCTTGCATCTGAATAACATGAGTGCTCTTTGAGGTAAACGAAGATACTGAAAACAAGTAAATAATGGTGGCCTTTTCCCAAGTAACAGAAAATTTTTGTTAAATGGTGGAATTTTCTTAATGTTTTAAAATAAATATTTCTTAAGCTTTTAGTGTCTACTGTTGCTTTTAAGTTAGTAAGCACTGGCAGAAAACAAATATTGTTTAAGAAATGGTAAATTAATATTAATGGGAAATTTGGGAAACCTTAATTCTTAAAATGTCTTATGAATTGATTTTTAAGATGAGAAAACCTATGCTTAGTGTTTGTTAATTAAGTAAATATATTAACCTCTCACAAATTTGGTGAATTTCACTCCCTAAAGAAACCTGAGGACCACTAGTGGTTCATGGAAATAATGGCACTTGAGATGAACTGAGCTGGGAGGTTGGATAGGCTGAGAGAAGTCAGCCTCCGCACAATAACCTACTATGTAGTGAATTAACGTTAGCTATTGTTACTAACAGCATTAGTATTATCTGTCTGATAGATACATTAGCCTCAGCTGTTACTTAAGACCTGGTTCAATATTTTATGTTCTTTTTCCTGTGCAGGCTGGGAGAGGGTTTCTTCGGGCCATAAGAGCCTCTCCGCTGGCTGTGGCAGATTTAATTCCGGTTGATACAGTCATCAACCTCACCTTGGCTGTAGGGTGGTACACGGCAGTTCACAGGTGTGGATGCTTAAGCCGGCTTTCAAGGATTTGAGGAGGAGGGTGAATCTGTTAGGCTTATTTTCAAAATACAGTATTCATTTTATTGTGGAATACCCTAAATGTGAGAGGGCATCTGTTTCAATATTTTACATAGTTCCAAATATGCCATCATATATGCATTGAGTTATTTTATAAATACTGCTTACTTCTATGTCGATCATAAAGTAATAGATTCTCTAATTCATTTAACCATAAAATTCTTGATAACCAAAAAGCTTTTCTTTCTATTCAGTAATCTGAAATACGGATTCCTTTTTTAAGGCAAAAGAGAGAGAAATAGATGAAATAAGAACATATTTTATAATTTATTGAACTGCCCAGTTCCTGATAAATGCCAAAGTTCAGATCCATGTGTGTGGGTGTTTCCTAGTCCAAAAAAAAATTAGGTTATTTTTATATTTGCCTCTACTAGTAAATGGTAAACAGAATTAAAATTTTCTCATTTGAAGTCAGGCATTCAGGTATTTCCAATTCAGCAGGGCTTAACTGGATTTAGGAGAAAACATAGTCTATATTTTTGCCCAATAAACATGTCCAGAAGTTAGAAATACAATCTGCTTTCTCATCGTCATGGTACCTCCATTTGCTCTATACATATGTCACCCTAGTTGGCATCTCTTTCACACACACACACTTTTCCTAGACTTCTTCCCTTTTGTTTATTAACCCAACGAAGGAACAAGAGACGGAAGTGTTTCATACATTGCCTTAGTCATGGGAATTATTGAAGCAACCTTGTCTAAATGTTATTTTCCCTTATCTTTCCTTCATTAGTTCTTCATTTTGTTGTATTTATCTAACTTTTATTTCATTTTCCAGACCTAAGTCAACGTTAATCTACCACTGTACATCTGGTAACCTCAATCCATGTAACTGGGGCAAAATGGGTAAGTGACTATGGCGATGTAACTACATAACTGCTAGCATCTGCCCATACACTATTAGTATCTGCCACAGGGGAGAGAATAGACAAAGTGGGTCATGGAGCTTAGAGGCTAGTGAGGAGAAGACATGAAAAATAAGCAAAGAGATAAAATAATTGCAAATTGTAAATGCGTAAGAGTTAACTAGAAGGTACTATGATATACCAAAGAAAGGGGCCAGTGGGAACATTTGCATGATTGTAAGCAATAAGGAGTCCATTGGCTATAGAGATTTAAAAATAAATAAAGCCAAGTAAAAGCCAGCAATTATAAGCAATGTCAGTGATACAACACTCTTCTCACTGAGGCACCTGCTCCCATGCACACATCTCTTGCCCACTTGCCACATCACTGAGAATGCGAAATGATCAATGACCAAGTAGATTTAGAAAAGCCCAATAATACTAACTTTCGTTATCGAGTCAGTGATACTCTTCATTAATTTATGCAATTAGCCATAAGTGTGACCTTGAAAGTATCTTGTTGAATTGAAGTAGTTAATCCTGCCTATCATAGAAAGTTAGCTAACCGATTCTGTATTCCTTTGTCAATTTAGGAGTTGATTTTCTTGTGAATATCTGAAACTTTTAGATCATCTAGCTGTTGTTTAGGTACTAGGTGTAGAAAAAAATTAAATGTACTTGATTTGTTAGAATCTGATTTTCAATTCAGAGCACTCTACTGTGCTATTCTATTTGCAGAGTTTTTACTTCAGTAAAAATGAAATGAAATGATCTACTCCCTCAAAGTTCTTTAGATCATATATCCAGTTATTAGATCATGTCTCTACATAGTTCTAAAAACATCTGGAAATAAAAATAAATCTCCTCTACCTCAGTAACAGAATTAAGATTTCACCCAGAAAAGGAGGCATTAATAGAAGCAAACAGGATATCTTAAGTTCTTAAATAAAAAGGTGCTACATGTAAATTCCATTTCTGAGACTCAAAATAGTCTTCCGTGCTGAAAACGCTTATGATCTGTTTTATCAAATTACAGAATGTCATAGTTAAAAGTGATCTTAAAAATAATCTAAAATAAACAGCGCTCACTTTATTTCATGTAGGAGGCGCAGAGAGAGTGCCATCTATTCGAATTTATGTGGGGAGCTGGTGCCTGAAACAGAAGTAGAAAACAGATCTCTTGCCTCTCTTGAATGTGCAATAACCACTCCACTAGTGATTCTTAAAAGTGAATATGAATCCCTTTGGGAAGAAAAGAGTTCAGATTCGTGGATCAGATGTTTCTTGAAATCTTTTCTGTACAGGGTGTATATTTTTCATATAGATTTCCAGGTAGTGTCTTTTAAGGAGGACAGAAATCATATCGCCATAATCGCTGATGTCTTCATCATAATCAAATAATGGACTTAGGCATTTTCTTTGAAAATTCTACATAAATAAAATCAAAATTGAATTCAAATGAATATCTTTTGAAAAGAATTGTTGAATTTACAAATGTACATTAGAAGTTTTTAACTAGGGGCTGGTCCCATGGCCGAGTGTTTAAGTTCTTGCTCTGTTTCCGGGGCCCACGGTCTCGCCGGTTCGGATCCTGGGCTCAGACAAGGCACCGCTCATCAGGCCATGCTGAGGCGGCGTCCCACATGCCACAACTAGAAGGACCCACAACTAGAATATACAACTATGTACTGGGGGGATTTGGGGAGAAAAAGCAGAAAAAAAACCCAAGATTGGCAACAGTTGTTAGCTCAGGTGCCAATAGTTAAAAAAAATTTAAAAAAATATAAAGACATTCTTTAAAAAAAGTTTTTAACTAGGCTTTATCTAAGTAACAATATAAAAAGAAAAAGATGATTATGAAAAAACTCTAGAGACAAGAGTGGACAATCGAGTCTGACATATTCCCAGACAAGTAGGAATACCAAAAAAGTAGAAGACTGTGATATTTAAAGTCAACCAGTGCAAAGAAATCCTGCCTTTATATTCTCTCTTTTACTTAATTTTATTACGTAAAAACTTTATTAAGGTTTCGGTGAAATGTTAAGAAATTTCCTGACGGTTGTGCAAGTAATGATCCAGCCAAGGAAATAACGCCCCTAGGTTCTGACTTGAGGGTTTCAGAATAGACTAGATAACCTTGGAATTGAATGATGGATTTAAGTTTTTCTGAACAATACCTCACTGTATGGACTAAAACTATTTCCCCAAGAAGTTGTCTTAGAGTGAATGTTTCAAGAAAAAGATCCAATTCTTAACCCACTCACATTGTTTGATTTTGCAGGTGACCACTTGCCCAGCATAAAAGTCTTAATATTGTTCTCAGAAATTGATTCTTGATGCTACACTGCAGATCTTTAGTCTTTATTATTTTGACCCATTGTAAATGCCATCCACCACAATGAGTTTATATGCTCCTAGACTTAGCACTTATTCTGTTGGTTTTTTCCCCAGGATGCCAAGTCTTGTCAACCTTCGAAAAAATCCCATTTGAGAAAGCTTTTAGGAGGCCACATGCTGACTTCACAGCCAACACCATCACAGTCCATTACCGGAATGCAGTCAGTCACCGAGCCCCCGCCATGATCTATGACATCTATCTGTGGCTCACAGGAAGGAAGCCCAGGTGAGAGGTTGGGTCATAGCTTTAAGAGTGTCACTGCAGGGAAGATTAAGGCCCCAGAGTCCTTAGTCTTCCCTTCAGCTGGGGATCAGAGGTGACAACTGAATCTAACACATATATTCATAAATTTGGGGACAATAGGTATAGGTAGTGATGAAGCCCCAAAGGACAGCTACCTTAAAAATCCTCCATCATAATAACAGCAGTTAAGTGTTAAGGAACTTACTTGATAAATTCAGCAAGTAATCATTCACCCAAAAAGAAAAGCAACTGAGACTCTTTGTCTGGAGTTTTCTAAATTGTTAATCTTAAAATGTACAAGAATGGGAACAGCCTCCCTGATCCACACATGGGATGATGGGTGATGATCTCATTTTTGTTCTCACAACAACCCAAGGAGGATATTCTCATCATTTCAATTTTACAAGTGAGGAAATAGAAGCTAGGGGAAGGATTTAAAGGCTCAAAGGAAGTGACCGAGGACAGATTTGGAGAAACCTGAGCTAGATTGACTGCCACCTAGAGAAGAGTAAAGAAATTACAGGGAACTAGGTAGAGGGAAAAGTGTGCTGAGGCTGAGGCAGTTGTGTCACCACCTAGCCGTGAGACATAGAACGTATCCCTTCCTCTCTGTCTCACTTGAATAATATTACATGTGTCTGAAGAGCCATCATTATCATCATTCCCACAGGCAATTCCTGCGATCAAGAATCAGAAGCACCATTGTATTGCCTTCTGGCTAGCCCCTTTGTAAGAGGAAGTCTTTCTCAGCGCGTTTAATTTCCATCCTTATTGGCACGGCAAATGTCTGAAACTTGGGCAATGTAGAGTTTATCCAGATTTTCTGAGACCATATTTAAAGCTCATAACTCAGTAACTGTCAGTTTCTTCTTGAGCAAGATGCAAAGGGGACTCTGTGTCTCCGGGGAAGATGTTTGCATGGGCTTATTAAATAGAGACAGGAAAAGAAGAAAAAGCAAACATTGTAGGCAGAAATGCTGAAGCCTTTAGAATATATCGCAGTTGGAAGAAGACCTGGATAAAAAGCAAAGTTCAGTAAATAGAAAAAAAGAACACAGGAGGAAGGGACCCCATCAAAATCATCATGAATTTTGTTTATGAGAAATTGAGTTGTAATATTTGTGGGAAATGGGTAGGTTTGTTTGTGATAGGAATTTTAAGAATAATCTTTATGGCAGAAAATGCTAGAATCCTTCCAGACCCTTCCCTACCCCAGTGTGTTTGTGTGTAATCTTCTATGCATTTACAACCAAATAGGGACATATGTAGTTTTGCTTTGAGGTAAGTGTGTATGTATATAAATCAATCCTACATATTTTGCAACTTTTTTCACTAATGTTCCATGAAAATCTAAGTCATTCTGCCTACCATTGTCTTTTTTTTCCCCTATGACAAACAACAGGGCAACGGTTATCAGTGCACATGCATTTTTGCAGAATGTGCCACTGGGTCTGGGGTGGATGCTGAGGAGCATGGTTGCTAGACTGGCAGGTATCTGGATTTGAAACTACTACAGGGTTGCACTAAAGGAAGGGTCCTTCGGTTTGCACTTCCACATCAGCACGTGAGAGCACAAATCTGTTCTTTCCTACCCTCATCCATACTTTGCAAAAATCAGTCTTTTGAATTGTCAGACTAATGACAAAGAGTGGTGTCTCTGTTCCTTTGTTTGGCGCTCCCCTGAGTGCTGGAGGGGCTGGGCTGTCACGTGTTCAGTGACATTCACATTTTCTCCTCTGTAAGTTTTCTGCTTCTGCTTCTCGCCTATTTTTCTTTCTTTTTTCTTGTTTTTTTTTTAAGGAAGATTAGCCCTGAGCTAACTACTGCCAATCCTCCTCTTTTTGCTGAGGAAGACTGGCCCTGAGCTAACATCCGTGCCCGTCTTCCTCTACTTTATATGTGGGACACCTACCACAGCACGGCTTGCCAAGTGGTGCCGTGTCTGCACCCCGGGCCGCTGAGAAACAGAACATGCGAACTTAATCGCTGAGCCACCAGGCCGGCCCCTCGCCTATTTTTCTATTGAGTTGTTCTTATTAATTTATGGAAACTTGTGTGTGTGTAAATATATACTTAATATATTTTCTCCCAGTCAGCTTCTTATCTTGTAGCTTTGATTATGAAGCTTTATGTAAGAAAAGGGAAGCTACCTATAGTGTAGGTCATAAGAGCATGGAGTTTGAGGTCAGACTTACAGATTAAAATCCTGGCTTCACCAGTTTAGCCATATGAGCCTTAAATTCCTTAACCTCTCTAAATCCTGACTTCCTCACCTGTAAAAAGGGAATAGTAATCAAAACTATTTCGTAGGGTTCCACACAAGAGAGTGTAGACTATAGTAATCATTATTATTACTAAAGAACTTTTGCATTTTTATGTGAGAAAATGAACCACTCTTTTCCCTTATGGCTTTTGCATTTTATGTAGTAAGCAGACCTTCTCTACCTGAGAGTAATAAATGCATTCTGAAAAAATTCTATTATGCTGGTATAGTTCTGCACATACAATGAGATCATGGTACAATGATTATTTTTAAAATTTAAAATAAACACTGAAATCCCATCAGTTACATCCGAGTTGTAGAATAGATAAAGATTGTCTTAGTCCATTGGGCTCTTATAATGGGCTATCATAGTCTGAATGGCTTATAAACAACAGAAATCTATTTCTCAGTTCTGGAGACTGGGAAAACCAAGGTCAAAGCGCTGGTAGACTCAGCATCTGCTGAGGGCCCGCTTCCTGCTTCCGACGCCGCCATCTTCTCTCTATGTGCTCACGTGCTGGGGAGGCTGAGGGAGATTGCTGGGGTCTCTTTTACAAGGGTGCTAATCACCTCCCAAAGTCTCCCCCTCCAAATACTGTCACATTGCGGGGAATAGATTTCCACAAATGAATTGGGAGGGATACAAATATTCAGTTTATAGCAAAGATGTTAGATAATAATTGCTAAATGGAACCCTATCATGATGTTTGTATCAGGGAAAAATGATTCTACCTCCTGCCTAAGAGTTTTCCATGATACAATGAGAGAAGAACTCCAGAAGTCATTAGATATACGGACATTAGGATTTGACCAAAAATAAGACCAATTCCCAAATGGCGTCATAAGTCGTTACTGAGTCAACTACAGTAACCACTTCTACCAGGTACCAAGACTGGCCTAAGATAAAAATCAAACGTTCTATAGGTCAAAGGTGATTTAGAGCCAGAAGACCTAGTTAGAACATTAGCTATGTGATCTTGAACCTACTAATCCTTCTGCAAGATGAAGATAAACAAGATAGATCTTGACTACCTCACAGACTCATATTGTGAGGATCAAATTAGTTTACATACGAAAGTTCTTTGTAAGTTGTTGTAAAGTTGGGAGGGTCACTCAGCAGAGCTGGTCCACGTCCTGACCAGGGGTTTGGAAGACGTGGTCCATCTTAAGTAAAGGGACACAGGCTGGTAAGATTACAAAAGCAGAGGCTTTGTGAGGTCAGTCAAAACTGGGTTGGAATGGCTTGGCTTTGACACATGATGTTATTGTGGTGACTTAACCTATCTTAGGCTCACTTTACCCATTCGTAAAAATGTAGATAAATACCTACCTAACAGGGATGTTAGAATTAACGGAGATATCTTTTTAAAGTGTCAGCTCTGTGCCTAACACAGTAGGTTATCAACAAATAAATTCTTTGCCTCTTAAATCTGCCTTACAGTTGACAGCTGCTTTCAGTTCACCAGATGCTAATACAGTTGCCACTTGTGCTCAGAAGTTAAATACTAAAACCTCGGATAAATCTTTTTTTTTTTAATCTAAGAACACACAATAAAGAAGAAAAATAAGTTTTCTAATTGTCTACCTCAGAATTCAGAGAATGAAAGTATGTCATGAAGGGTGGATATCTGGCTCGGTTTTTAAAATTTTTGCTACTCAAGAAAGATATGGTAGAAAAGAGGAAGAGGAGGAGCCTGGTGGGATTAAATACGCCTGATAGAATAAGTTCCTTTAGAGTGATCTCCTTTCCTTCTTCGACGAGAGTTAACGTGGAAGGAAATAAAAGAACAAGAGTTGTAATGAGCAATTGGGGGAAAGAGGAGAGGGGTAATTTTTATACTTTCTCAAAAGTAATTTGCCATAGATCCCTATGGAGTAACAGGGAAGCAGCCATGGGTGGTGTGCTGATATTTGCTCCTATCTGATCTTTACCTCAGGATGACAAAGCTCATGAATCGGCTTTTAAGAACCATTTCCATGCTGGAGTATTTCATCAACCGGAGTTGGGAATGGAGCACATACAATACGGAAATGCTGATGTCTGAGCTGAGTCCTGAAGACCAGAGAGTAAGTACAACACTGATTTCACCAACAGGAAAATCTTCCCTTCTTGGAATTTAGAATGATTTGACCTGGAAAGCTGATGAACTAAGGAAGTGTTAGTTATGTACACAGATGTTTTTTCTTTTCTTTTTTTGGGCTAAGAAAATCAGTCCATGCTATCTACACAATTGCAGGAGAAAGTTTAATGCTGGTAAGAAATCTAAGTGCTTGGACTTTGGACAGATATTCACTGCTATTCGGCAGTCACATTTCATACGCTCTGCTTCAACCCTCTGCTCATCCCCAGTAGCTATTATCTTTTCAACAAACCCTCGGTACCTCTATCTTCCGGCTACCCTCCATAGCATATGACCTCAATGAAAAATAATAATTTTATTGCTTATAAACTCTCCCGTCCACTGTTCTTGTCAAATCAAAATCAATCTGCTTCTCCAAAGCTACAATTCCTTCCTTATCTTTTTAAAGCTAACTCGTACGCTTCTGCGTTCTGTCCTATCTAAGACCTCCCTCCATCAGTATCGCCCTCTCTCTAGCGTTGTCAATCTTCCTCCCTATAATGGTCTTTCTTCAACAATCCAGACTTTTATTTCTCAAGACAGGCCTTCACTTTAATTGCTTAGCATCAGTGCCATTTATTTCTTTACACTATCTTCTTGGAAGTCACAAACATTAGGTCCTGAAATCTTTGCATGTTCTGAAATTCACAAATATAGAGATCTTTTATACTTTGTACATCATCTTCTTTTTTTCTCAAAGAGTCATGTGTTCCCTGAGCAGATCCTTAATTTTCAGTTAAACTTTAGAATTTTCACTCTCTTGATTGACATTTTTCACTGAAAATTTTTTTAAAAGAAAGAGAAAAGCATTTCTTGATTTATTTTGCACTTGACAGCATGTGGAAGAAACCAAGTCATATTGAGAAGTAAACGTTGTGGCTAGCCTCACCTGCCAGCTAGGGGTTTTCTCCTACATACCAGCCATATAGAGTATGACTCACATCCAAGCCCCAGAATTAGTTCATGTCATGAAACCTAAGGGTTACTTGCAAAGTCAGATCCCACAGATGTTATGTCAAATACACCAGGTGAGATTTGGAGGGATATTTTAACTAAAATCTTTGCTGAGTACCTCTAAAATTGACATGAAATAGAGCTATTTTCAGAAATGTTTCTATACCTTGTATAGACAAAATTCTTCTAAGCGTTTGTGTTTGAAATGCATGGATCATGATCAAACCAGCTTATTAAAACAAACAAACAAACAAAAACCCTTCAAGCTATTGTAAAATTAGTTTAAAAATTAGCTTCACATTTTTTGTAGCCTTATCTTTATTGCATTTTCTCCGTGGAATTTACCCATCTAAATAATTCAGAAGGTAATGAGTTCAGAGTTTCATTTTCAACATTTTACTATTTTAACATAAAATAACCAAAAATTTTGTGAGAAAAAAATCAAAGCTGCAGTGAATTTAACACATACTTTCAAAATATCTTAGCAAAGGTAATAGTCCTGAATACTTGGATGTGATTGCTAAACTCTGGTGTGGCCCAGAATTCAGCTTGATTCGCCATATGAAACAAGGATTCCAAACTAGGGCCTCGTTGACATCTGACTTAAAAATGTGAAATCGTATAAAAATGAAAGCCTCTGTTTATATAGATGAATAAGTAATGTTTAGTGATACTGTGGAAAATAAACATATCTGAACAAAGTGATACAGAATTACTTTTGGAAAGCAATTCAGCTTTTGGACAAGTCTCTGAAGCTCTCTGGAACTCATTAATCTCATCTGCCCTGTGGGTTAATGCTCCAAATTACTTCACAAAGATTTGAGATAACTTGCAATAAACACATATAATAAAAGAACAAAATAGAAATACAATAAAACATCAAACCAGGGAAAATATGTATTAAAATAGGAAGTCAAGGATAAGAATGAAAGACAGAATATCCATAAGTAGTCTACAAGATCCTACTAAGTCACTGCAGTTAAGCAGGTAATTTGTTCTTGAGCTTTTTGGAGAGAAATTGACAAGGAATATATAGTTTCGTGGCATTCTTTGTCCAAGAGGAGAAAAGGCACTAGCGTTCCAAGAGAAGCAAAGCTTTTCTTACTGCTTAACTCTGAAAGAAATGTTTTTGAAGGGCTTCATTTAAAGGCTCACTGAAAGACATAATGGATAACATCTCTAATGCAAATATGGAATAAAATTTCTGCTTAGCTATTCCTTAAGGCTTTGCTTCCCAAAGCTTACCTTAATCTGCATAATGAAGTGGATATATTGTAGGAAGGGATGGTAGCCCAAGGGGACCCCATCAAAATTTAAGAATGGAAAGGAAAAGATGCATAATTTGTTTTGGTTCCTAATTTATTATTTCATCACTTTAAAAAATAATCCTCATTCACTTGAAACGAAGTAAAGACTTCATTTCACCAGAATAATACCAGTTCCTTCAAATTTCCCTCACAAGACTTCCTAAAGGTCAAATGTTTGTGCTTGTCCCATGTTTAAATATTCCTATGAAAATGTTTATCCATATTGTCAGTGCCTCTGAAATGACAATTCAAATAATCTCCTTTGGAGAGGTCCAACATAAGTCTTCCAAACTGAACGTCCTCATTTATGTAAAAGAAAATTCACTGAATGGACAAAGTGTCCAGCAATGCAATTCTGGCAATCCATAATCTCTTCTTGCTTTTCAGATATTCAACTTTGATGTGCGCCAGTTGAACTGGTTGGAATACATTGAGAATTATGTTTTAGGAGTTAAGAAGTACTTATTGAAAGAGGATATGGCTGGGATCCCAGAAGCAAAGCAACACTTAAGAAGGTAAGCATAATCAGTTACTTAATATTTACTGAGCACTTACCATGTCTATCTGATTTTATACGAGACATGACATTTGAGTGGGGGAGAGGAGGAATTAACATTTTTCTAGCATTCGCTGCATTACAGGTCCTTCCCTGTATACTATGCCCCATACTACACTAATTTATTTAGACTTCACCACATCTCTATGAGGTAGGTATTATTTTTGTTATCCCATTTTTATCTAAGAGCTATTTAGGCTCAAAGGAGGTAAGTAACTTGTCCATAGTAATACATGGTAAGTACCGGGGCCAGATTTGAACCCAAGTTTCTCTGTTTCTTCTACCATATTCTGTCATAATGGGATATAAAGAATGCCCAACAGGCAGGAAACCTATCGTAGTATTTAATGTGGGCAAATCATTTAACCTCTCTTCAAGTCCTTCAACTGCCTTAAATTTCTTTCAGTCATCGATCGCTAAGGGACAAAGAATTATAGCAGTCTGGCACAATTCTGGTAGAAGCAAAAGATTCTCACTGCAGAGATGATAAGGATGGAAAAATAAATTGCAAACAGAGGAAGCTTGAATAGCAGACTAAGAACTTTAGAACTTACCCTCTAGTGAACAAGAACCAGTGAAGATTTGTGATATGGTAATATGGTCAAAGTATATTTAAGAAAGATTATGTTAGTCATGTTAGTAAGATAGGTTAAAGCAGAGAGAGGTATGAGAAACTAGTTAGGGGAATATTATGAATATTCTTTCTGCTTATTCAGAGGCATGTTGTGGAAATAAAAGATAAAAATCAAAAGGCCATCAGGTCTTGCCATATACCCCATGAGATCTTAATTATTTGCTGGTCACAGCCAGAAAAAGACGTTTGTGCTTCAGATAACATAGATGGGTATTTGGTACTATTTTAACTTTGGTTGTATATGTCTGTTCCCCAGGCTCCAAAATATTTACTACCTCTTCAATACTGTCTTCTTCCTCATCGCCTGGCGCCTTCTCATTGCGAGATCTCAGATCGCTCGGAACGTCTGGTTCTTCATCGTGAGCTTCTGTTATAAATTCCTCTCCTACTTTAGGGCATCCAGCACACTCAAGGCCTAAGAACATTTGGCAATCTCCTTTTATCTGGAACCTCTCAGATACCTCTAAAACAGCAAACTGCGGTTCTCAAGATTCGGAAGTAGCAAAGAATACACCCAAGTTCATTACCTGTCAAATGTGCTGTCATGTGTTCATCCCTATTTCCTAACTATAGTCCTTTTATTTCAATGAGAGAAGGAAAGTCATATCCTAGCCTATAATCATACATATTTTAGGAAAAACATATTTCCAGATTGTTTCCTAACGCTCTATTCTATACCCTTGAATATAAAACACCAAAGTATACCCATCTTCTCATATTTAGCTTTTTCTCCTTGAGGACTAATTTCGACTCAGTAAACATGGAAGAACCCATGGTAAAAGCTGAAATATGCTAAAGAAGGGCAATTCAAAAACCTTGAGGGGGCCAACCCGGTGTTGCAGTGGTTAAGTTCGCACCTTCTGCTTCAGTGGCCTGGGGTTCGCCGGTTCTGATCCCAGGTGCGGACCTATGCACTGCTTGTCAAGCCATGTTGTCAGAGGCATCCCACATATAAAGTGGAGGAAGATGGGCAGGGATGTGAGCTCAGGGCTAGTCTTCCTCAACAAAAAGAGGAGGATTGGCAGATGTTAGCTCAGGGCTAATCTTCAAAAAAAAAAAAAGAAAAGAAAGAAAAACCTTGGAACCATTCTGGGATGCCCAGTGTAAAGGTTTCAAATCAAGATAAGTAGAAGAAGAATGGTCTCCACATCCTCAGAAATTCTCTAAGAGAAACAGTTCTCCACTGAAGTCTCTACTTCCTCTTTGTGTTATCCCATGGAGTCTGGGTTGGCCAGGGGGGTGGGGGTTGGGGGGCAGGGGGGATAATAAGAAAAGTGGTTCACATTTAACATTTTCCTTAACTATACTCACCTCTGAAACCTAAAAAGACCCAAGAGGTGTAAATAATTATTTATAGAATGAGGGCTCAAGTATATTTGCATTGGGACTCAGTTTATTCTGCTTTTAAGTGAAAATTAATTCTTATAATTTGATAATTATTATTTCTAAATCTTTTGAATCACCAATTTTCCTGATAGTCTTCTCAAGAGTTTCCTTCTTATTCATTAAAGTCACCAAATCCCTTATATTTAAGCTTAATTGGCTCAGGCTTCAATTAGAGTGACTAATGGGAGAGGAAGGTCCTAGCCTGGAATCATAAAGTCCCAGTCCCCCACCATCTTTGCCATTGAAGAAAGCAAAATTTCAAATAAAATTTGAAATGCTAGTTTTAGTCTTTTTGTAAAAGTGGGGAAGATTACTCTTCTGTGAACACCAGGATTTGCTAGGATCTTGATCATTCCAATTGTTCAATGTTAACTGTAAAATGTACAGCAGGAGAGGACAGACTGCATTAAGTGACTCTAAGTTTAGGGAATAGGTGCTGTTTTGTTTAAAAAAATTTATGTATAATGCAAATGAATTAATCAGTAAAAACTGTATTTATTCCCAAATTCCTATATGAATAATAACTGTTATCCCAACTTTCCTCATATTTGAAAGATCAGTGCATGTTGGATTACAGCGTTTCATGTTAAAAACATGGATTATTATTCAAATATCTGGGGCCTAAGTAACTAAAAGTAATCACAACTACTAGAAAATTACACAAGCATAAACTGTTAACAATAGCAGTTGCATTTATGCTCATTTTCTGGAATAATCGGTAATACTCAGAGAGGCACCTTCAGTGTACAAGGCCTTGGGGGCAGCTTCTAGCCCAGGATTACTTGAGATTTTTCTGAAATCCATAAAGAGCATTTTGGGGGAACTCTTTCCCAGTCTCATCGAAGTTCTGGGAACTACTTTCCAGGGCAGACCACCCAGCTCTGAAACGAAGCCCCTGGTGATCTTTAGTTTGAGATGTCTACAAGATACTTCCCAGTTATGTTAATACAAACTATAGATATGACAAAAATGAAATCAAGATATAATTCAATGATTAGATAAAATATAATAGTTCTGAGAATTTACTATCTTTTGATTATTGTATGTTTCACCAATTCAATAAATTCCACTGACCAAGTATTCACACTTTGACTTTTGCTTAAACAAAAATTTGCTTAAAAATGTTTTCCTCTCTCCTAGCGTTGCATCTTTGCCTAACTGCTGACGACTGCAGATCTCCTCCTTCCCCTCAGAAAAAAGGACAGAATCTTCCAAAGAAACTACCAGATAAATATAAACTAACACATACGTACATAAATACTTCACTTTTTCTGACACCATTAATTGGGTTACGTTTACATGCTGAACCGTGTTCTGTGGCAATATCTGTGGCATTAGAGAAATGACATGAATAAAATTCTCCTGTGATGATTAAGCCGTAAAAGTAGATATCTGTATGAAAGACAATCTCTAATTATTTTAATCAACATCAACTGACAATTATTTGAGTGCCTAATATATACAACGCAATGAGAAAGAACTTTCTACTTTTGTGGGGCAGGGGACAGTAAGTACAAAGAGAAGGTATCTGTTTAAAAAGAAGTTTTGGTAATTCCTATATTCTGCATCCACAAGATACCTGCTACAGTAACAAATCCTGCAGAGTTGAAGACAGTCACCAACTGAGGCAATTAATACTAGAAAAAATAGAGGCAGATGAGCACACAACTCCGAAAAACATTTCTCACAGTTTTATACTAACCTAACATCATTATCTCCAGTTAACATCTCATTTTCATAACTGATTTAGAATCTCAAGGTAGATTGATCTGAGAAGGGACTAACATCCAGACAGTGTGTTATCTCACAATGAACACAGCAATTAAAGTATGTCAGCCTAAAGTTTCCAAAAACATCAATAATTTTCAACCTTCACAGGAATCACATGCAAATTTCCACATGGCTATTTTTCCAGAACTGAAAATCTATGTTCTGGGAACATAAGCGACTGCCTATAGTAAAAAGTAATGGTTGTCCCATATGCCCACATAGAGGTATGGAAAAATGCCCACTGCCTAGATTACTTTTGAAAATACGTTTTTTTACTTTAACAAAATAAAACTAATAATTGCTAGTTTTAGGATGTAACTGGCTTGAGAGACGCTAGTGCCTGTGAAATGTAGATACGGTTATGGCAAAGTTGAAATTGAGTTTTAGTAGCTAGAAACAGCTCTTCTAATACACAAACACTTTAGGTGTTTCCTTACTCTATTTAAAATACTGATTCCAACCCTGAACCGTAAGTGGGTGGGGAGATGTGAGGTTGGCCAAGTTGCATGAATTCTAGAAAAATACCTTAAAGAAATGAAAGGTGAGTATAGTACAAAAAAAAAAAAAATCACCAAATTGATTTGCATAATGGCTTGAAAACAGTAAAATTTAGACAGCATTTCTCATAGTTACATGAGTTGTTGCTGGAGGTCTGCTTTAGTCTACAGCTTGCACTAACATATACTTTCCCCACACCTTCTCATTCTGTTTTACCTTAAAATTATTACACCAAATAGTATCAATGAGTTACGATATTTGCAAGAGTTGTTAACCTAATTCCTTTTGATAAATACCCAATACAACTTGGAGTTGTTAAAGCAAAACTATTTAAATCTTTCACTGATTATAATCTTTTATTCAATTCTGTTTCTAGGTTTATAGACTTGAGTCAACTGCTCAATTTTCACCATTCATTTTTTTAATATGAAAAATATAAAATCAATCCAATTTCATACAGTAATTTAGCTCCATCTGGAGCAAAAGCAAATGTAACCAAGTGATACTGCTGGTCTTCCTATGAGGAAAAAAAAGCTTAAATATGAGGAACTGAGGCTTATTTGGGGGTACCTGAGGGTAAAAGGACAAAGAATTGTTTCATAATTTGTCATTTTACTTAGAGTCCAAATGTTGAGGATTGAGACATTAAATGAGTCTTTTGTGTTGTCTTTTCTCTTAAAATAAAATTTAAAAACTAAAGGGAAACCAAAAAATCCAAGGCAGTTTGTTTCCTCTTAAAATAACACAAAGTGATTTCATCACTAAAGAAATACTTCAAAAGAGGGGAAAAACCACACGAAGGAAATCCGTGGATATGAATCCAGGCATCACACTATAAGGCAGTGAACAAATGGCAATGTCTCTATTCAGAGGGTGCTGACAGAGGGACCCACCTTGTCCTGCTGAAGGTTTGCTAGAGCTCCAAACAGAGGGGAACTTCAGTGCTAGGTGAAAGAGCATGGTGGATCTTAAGGGTCCTAAGACTCAGGCTGAGCTCATTTTTAAACATTAAAAAATAGGCATCTTGAACTCAAGTTCGAGATTCAAAGTTTTAAATTTTGAAGGAGTTGTATATAAATTTACTTTTTACTTCAATTACTAACCCAAGCCATGACAGAATGCATCTCTCTACTTATACCATTAAAAATTAGATCTTACTCATTTCTTTATGAATTACAAAGTTGTTTAAACATTGTAAACTTTGTTTGCATTAGTAAATCAATCCTTATAAAAATTCAGTGTTTTCTATCATAAAATATATATGAGAAAAGTGATATTAATCACCTAAGTTGAGAACTAGGAGTCATTTTGTAAGTCTGATGAATACTGAGTTAAGCTTTTCCCAAGAGTCTGAACTGTACAAATATTGCAGCAATTATTCACCTAAATATTTCATCCCTTTTTATAGGCCAATGTGTGCAGTTTTAAAAAACCCATTTCACATAATTTGAGATTCAACTTTTAAAATAGTTTAGCTAGAATATATACATATAGATATTACGAATACGCTAACAAAATGCAAAGGAGGATTGAGTAATAAGTTGGGTATCCTACTGGAGGCACCCCCAGGCACAAGCCAAAGCTACATAATAGGTAGGTCAGTAGCATTCTCTGCAATGGAAAAGAAACACTTGGTGAGGTCAAAAACAAACAAATCCTAAAGCAGGTATACTTCATCATCCATCATCCAAATGCTGGTCAGAATCAATACTTTGTCAAAAATCTGACCCTGACTATTTGAGGAGTTTCAGGTGGAAACTTTTCTTAATTTTTAAAATGGAGCAGAGTAGGACTTTGTTTTAAAGAAATTCCTTTTATAGTCAGTTTTAATGGGACAGATTAATTCCATTAAAATTTTAATGATTATTTGGAAAACATGAAATCAATTAAAAATGATATATGAGTACCAAAATAATTTTTAACATCCTTTCTAAAGATATTTAACTGTTATAATGTTAACTGAAAGGAAGTAATTCTAAATCAATATTGGTTTTCCTCCCATTAAAAAAAAACTCTGGGGGCCATCCCAGCTGTGCAGTAGTTGGGTTTGTATGCACCACTTTGGAGACCTGGGGTTTGCGGCTTTGGATCCTGGGCAAGGACCCACATACTGCTCAAGTCATGCTGTGGCAGTGTCTCACATAGAAAATAGAAGAAGATTGGCACAGATGTTAGCTCAGGGCTAATCTTCCTCACCAAAAAAATTCCCAAAAGACAAAAACCCCTGAAATTTGATTGAACTGACAAGCAGATTCACAGAACCAACATTCAGTTAG